ATTACATGTAACAATACTCGCATGTACTAGCAATCAGCTGATCGCAACAAATGCCCCACATAATCGCGAACATAATTCGCGAACTGTTTTCTCTTGTAATTTAAAAATTAAACTTCTGATAAAAATTTGGTAGAGGAAAAATTGTCTTAGAATCGACTCAAAAATATAACATTTTAAGGATTTTAATATTTAACGGTTGTTCTGAATCACCTTATATATGCTTTATTCAAGACGACATTGTACAATGCATGAGCTTTCAGAATCGTTTCCTCTTAGCGGCGGATTTTCGGGTGTCTCGTGAATCTCACACTTCGCCGAATTCGACCGTGTCTTCTTTGAAATCCTTCGCCAATCACAGGAAAACATGAGCTCGATCATCACGAGAATAATACGTGATCAGCTATTTTAGGATTAGCTGTTTGCTTCGGTTCGCGACCTAAACACGTTCGTCACGTCCTCGCGAAATACAAATTAGAAATAATGAGGTTTGAGAAACGATACAGTTATATTCGCCGATACCTGTATAATTACTTGTATTATATTTAATTTCCTACATATATTAATTAAGATCGCAAAAGTCATGAAGCAAAATAGAATTTGTTATATAGTTGTCTAATAGATAATAAAATCATTAAATCATACAAAGATTATTGAAAAAAATTATTGATTAAATCAGTTTTGACAGTATATACTGACAAATAATAATGGAAATAAGAATATAAATGGAAAGAATTTTAATATACAGTTTTTATGGATACTTTAAAGAATATTTTTAAAATATCTTCCCTAAGAACTATATACAAAAAATATCTTCCCTAAGAACTATATACTAAAAGTCTTTCCGTTCTTGGCACTCTTATATCTTAAAAAATATTATTAGATAAAATAATCGATGCATTAAGTTTTATTCAAGTTCTTTTCTCTATATTTTTATTCTTTTTATCTTTTGACAATATTTTTTAATTTTAGTAATGTTTATTTATTAATTGGATTATTTTTATTAATTTATAATTCATACAAGATATATTTTTCCATATTTTCATATTATTAATAAGATTTATCTTTGATATAGAAATAGAATCAAGAAATGATGAGACTTCTGATCAGTCATTTTATTTTTAAAAAATATTTTAACAAACAACAGCAAATAACATAGCCGATTTCTCGGTAAACAAGATCTTGGTTGCTAAATCTTTATATGAAATAAATTCAAATAATCATATCAAGAATTACGTGCCTCTAGATTAGCAGACTTTTAACATAGTGGTTCTATAATAATTCAATAATCAAATATTTTTGATATTGGTTATAATTCTTTTTATTATCCCCTCACTAGAATTATAAAAAATATTTTATATTTTATGACAACGCATTTTTTTATTTTCGATTATTTAACTTATTTATACTTTATCTTTGTATTATTTAATTATTTTCTTTATGTATATTTATTGTGTAGTTCCTGCGATCTTAAACATCATTTCGTTTTTATTCGATTTTTATTGAACTTATTATCAAATATGTAATTGATTTAGTAGTATTTTATGTTAATTAATTTGCAGCTGAAAAGATTGAAATTAAATTGAAACTTGTTTTTCAATATCATTTATCGTGTAAAACAGTACTAGATTTTCCCTGTCGGGGTTGTGAATAAACGCGCGGTTAAGTTCGCCAGATTCAACGGGATTCATGCGGAAAGTAATTATTGAGATTTTATGATGTGTAATGAATGCATTTATTATAACCAAACAGAAAAAAAGAAACAATATAACAAATATTTAGTTAACAATAGTCGTTTTGTTGAAAATCGTTTATAATATTCTTGAGATCATGCTGTTGTATCGAGAGGTGCCGTAATATAATTCGGCGTTCGCGGTTCGCGCGTTCGCGAAGATTGCTACAGCGCGTTAATTATCGGAAGATGGACTGATAATTATGGTCGCGGTATTCGCGCGCGCTTTTCGGCTATCAGTGAGGCAGTTGCAAGTGATTGTTCGCGTTATTGCCTAGCAACGAATGATCATAAATCACCCATGTCACACTGACTAATTCGTAGGAAGGCGGATTCTTCGGTGATTTCGCTTACAAAT